GTCCCACACCTTATACACTGTGTGACATTAACTCATTATTAATTATATTACCATCAATAGGATGGCGTCCATGTGGGCGCAATCTTATTTCATCCAGGGGGAAGGGGTGTTGTGTCCTGAGCCTGCAAAAGGCAGGCTCGGGACGTTGCAAGAGTCCCGGGCATTTGCAGAAGCTGCCCGGGACCAGACTGAGTGGCGCCGGCCTTGTGCGCATGTGCAAGGCGGGAAAAGACCGCCTCTTGATTGGTTGAACTTGCCCGGGGATCAGAAGGTATAAATAGAGGCCTGCGTGCCTCTGCTCGGGTTGTTCGTAGAATGGAAGCAGAGAATAAAGACTTGTTAGAAATGCTTCGTCTCAAGCGCCATTATTCTCCGGACTTAACAGTATATTTCATAATTAATGAGCCTGGTTTCCTCAGAAATTCCTTTTTGGAATTTGTGCACAATGAATTGAAAATACAGCAAAAACATCTTACAGCAGTCTGGGTAATGAAGAGGGCAAATTAAATAATAATAATAATTGTTAAATTTATTTGCCACTTATCTCATCATGGGCAACTTTAGGCATCTCACAACCATAAAAAACAAAATATAAAGGAAGTTTAAACACAGTGAAAATAAATTAACAGAACAATAAAAAGGAAAAAGAAAACAAATAAAATATATCAATGACTAGTAAAAAAAGATGGGTGTGTGGGGAACAGAATGGTGGTGGGGAGGGCAGGTGGAGTCCCCTGTCTATCTAACAGCTGCCTCCAAAGTTTAACTCCCCCACTGGGGCCCCAGGTCAATTTGAAGAGCCAGTTATGAAAAGATAACAGATTGGGAGAAGATCTTACCTTGGAGGGCAGGATGCTCCAAAGAGTGGGTGCTGCAGCAGAGAAGGCTCTTCTTCTGGATTCCAATAGTCGAGATTCGTTTGACCAATAGGATCTCCAGTAGGCCCCCTCTGTGCCCCCTCTGTAAGACAAGCTAGTCTTAGTGGGACAATACACTTCATCAGGTAGCCTGGACCTATGCCATTAAGGGCTTTCAAAATTATAACCAACATCTTGAACTGCATTTGGAAGCAGACTGGTAGCCAGTGATATTCACAGAGCAGAGGTGCAATATGGGCCATCCTAAGGGTCCCAAGGACTGCTCTTGCACCAGCTGAGGCTTCAAAGTGGATTTCAGGATAGCCCTGTGTGGTGTGCATTGCAATAGGCCAGACAAGAGATAACTAGGACTTGAATAACTGAGTACAGGAAATCAGAATCCAGGAAAAATTGCAGCTGGTGCACAAACTGGAACTGTGCAAAAGCTCTCCTAATCATGCCCACTACTTGCTTTTTTAGCAGGAGACATGAGTCTAGGAGAACCCCCAAGGTACAAACTGGTTCTGAACAGGGAAGTACAATCCCATCCAGAATTAGAGATGACAAAACCTTGGATCCCAAGGCTCCATTCACCCAAAGCCACTCAGTCTTGCCAGGGTATAGTCAAGATATTCCCCATCCAGGACCCCACAGTCTCTAGGCATCATGAGAGGGCAGAGACAGCATCATTCATAATTCGTGAAAGGGAAATGCACAGGCCATAGTTCTCCATGCTGGAAGATCAATTGTCTTACTGCTGAACTAGCCAGTCTCCACTAATAATAGAAAGGAACCTATTGTTTATATAACTGCCTTCTTTATCAGTCTGAGAATTAATCAATACACTCATGGTCAAATGTACACAAACACACAGAAATCATGTTAGCAGAATTTAAAATTTGAAAGGAATATTTTAGACATTTTTATAAGAATAATAATGATGTATTGCTGAGTAGAACTGAAATGAATGCTATAAACATAAGTGTTTCAACTACTGAAAGCTGCTAGAATCAGTTCTTTTCTTTAGAGAAGAATCTTTTAATACCCAAAGAGGATCTTTCTGTTCTTTGCTTGATGTACTTGGTGTGGGTATGGGCCATTCAGATCCTCATATAGTGAAAAACTACTCCCAGGTATTTGAAGTTATAAGCTTGTTCAGATATTTCCCTGAATTGTCCACCTCTGTGGTTTTGCATTTTGGGCAAGTATCATGATTTTCCTTTCTCTTTCCCTTCCCTTTCCTTCCCACTAATAACCAGCATGTTCTCCCTACAGTATTAGATTATAGCTATTACCTTGTTTCCCTGAAAATGACCCAACCAGAAAATAAGCCCTAGCATGATTTTTCAGGGTGCTTCTTCTAATATAAGCCCTACCCCCAAAATAATCTCCAATTAAGATCATCAGCCAGATGTCTGTTTGAACATATGATGGATGTATTGAATTATAAAATAATAATATTAATATATAATTAAATATAAATAAATAATACTATTGACATTAATACTTAAAATAAATGATAAATTATAATTAAGTAATTGTACATACCATACCCAAGCAGAGCTGCCTCACGTGCCCCACAGCCAGGCCACTCCAGCCCTGCCACCCTGCCACGCAGCGGTGGTGCCAGTAGCAGCAGCCCTGTCCAGCAGGAGCCTGTGTGGCTGGCCACCCACTCCATCCCACCATCTGCTTGCCCGTGGTGGCACCTGTACTGTGCGGGCTTCGCAGCCCCAGAGTGCACTGCCCAAGGGGCAGGCAGGCTGCAGCTGCTGCCAGACACCATCAGCCCCTGCACGCTTGCCCCCTCCTGTACCTGAAAAAATAAGATATCATCTGAAAATAAACCCTAATGGGTCTTTAGGAGCAAAAATAAATATAAGACCTGGTCTTATTTTCGGGGAAACATGGTATAGCTCTCTTAAGGCCAGCTGGATTATGCTGAATGATTGCTGCATCATCAACACATAACAAGATAGTAATATTAAGGCATGCAAGCAAAAAGTATGGACATTTGTCTTCTCACAGGCTTTGGTTATAGAATTAATTCAGGAATTGATTATCAGAATGCATCCCTGCTTAACTCCTTTCTGTAACCTTGTGGGTTACATCTTATTCTTAGGGAGGAATTATCATAGGGTTTTTAATGAGGAAAATTAGCCACCAAATAATGGATGAGTAAATGAGTTTATTACGTAAAATTATTCTCAAAATGGAGTCAAAAACACAAGATAAATATTTAAAACCTAAGAATGTTTCATAAAGAAGACTGGGATTTGTGAGTGTACTTTTCTATTACATGGTATGATACTTATCTTTCCAGAAGAGTTCTTTGCGGCTAGATATTAATTCTCCCATTTGTGCTTTTAAACGATAAATATTTAAAAATTTAAATTTAATAGACAAACTGCCCATGTACATCTGTGGAAACTGAAATGGTAAGTTGTATTTTATTATTCTGCCATTCTATAAGGACTTGCACTTAAAATACATTCATACTATACTGCTGGATTTCCCAGGCAGATTTGATGAATTTTATATTATTCTGCTCTATTTACATATGTAATATTGCCTAACACTTACAGCAGGTAATTGCCATGTACCTGCTTTGAAAATAGATCAACAAATCATTCAACATGATTCCTTAGATGGTATGGCCTCCGATTAGAACTGAGAGAGTTCTAGAAATTTGTGTTTTATCAATTTATTTATAGGTTGGTTTTATATTTTGATATATATATATATTTTAAAGTACTTTATCTGCATTTTGACTGAGAGGAATTGTTACAAATTTTACAGAGCCTAGTAGCACGCACGCACGCACACACACACACACAAATCCTACTGTGCTTGAATTTGATTAGCCCTTGAGAGTATTGCTTTGTAAAATTTTGATAGTGCAGAGCAGGGGTATCAAACTGCTGGCCTGTGGGCCGGATACGCCACAGCGAAACCGCACCTACCCCATTGCCAGCAGTGGAAAAAAAGTCGATATGTCACGACACGTCACGTGATGTTGCAAGTTTGACACTCCTGGTGCAGAGCTTTGCTGTTAAGCTGACAACTGTAGATAGATGTGAGTAAACTTTGATTTGTCTGTGTTGTTACAATTCTGATCAGTTTTATGACCAATGTATATCATACTTATTAAGCTGAAAAATCTTTTTCCCCTTGGCTTTAATAGTTTGTGGGCTTCGATATAACAGATCATTAGGATTATCAAGAATAACTGGAGGAGTATCATCTGGGAAATGGCCATGGCAAGCCAGTCTCCAGCGAAACAACATCCATCGTTGTGGTGCAACATTGATCAGCAACACATGGCTTCTATCTGCAGCACATTGCTTCAGAGAGTAAGTTTCCAAATGAGAATAATTATGATATATTTTAATTAGTATTCTAAATAGCTTTGATTGACATCTTAAATTAAACAATTCAAAATATATAATAATGGAGAGGGCCTGAAGAAGATGGCCTTCACTAGAAACACATATTGTGAGGTAAATGCAGAATTCCATTTGCCTCCTTGAGGAAATAACCATCTCCAGGGAAATGTCTTCATACTTCACATTTTCCCTTTCTGAAATTTCTTTCCATTGACAATATGTTTCTTCTTAGCATGTTGTCCTCTACAAGGCTCTGTCTAGGAATGCAAGGGGTATAGGAAGACTAAAGAAACCATAATAAGCCATTCTTTTTGCACACTAGGTCTCTTATAAGCAGCCTCCTTCTTATGTTCCAGCAAATGTGGATTTAGGAATATTTGGTTTGAGATTAAATGCTTAGCATGGCAGACATTGGGATCATGGGGAAGGGATAAACAATGATGCATACCAGCCAATTTTGGACTCTGAATCTTCACAATATGTTGCACATCTATTTTAAAGATCTTCTGTGCAACCATGAATATTAGAATGCTAATTTGAATCCATTACATGGGAACAGATTTAACATACATCAATTCCTGTGATTTATTATGCAAATATATTTTATTGATTTATTTTTCAGTAATCTCTTTTTGGTAGAACTCAGATAATTCACAGTGATATTTCTCTTTTGTTTGTTTTCAGAGCAAAAAATCCACATAAATGGACAGTTAGCTTTGGAACCTATTTAAGACCTTCTCTAATGATACGGCTTGTCAAAACAATTATAATTCATGAAAAATACCAGAATGCAGGCCATGAACATGATATTGCTGTTCTGCAGTTGACTAAAAGTGTAGAGTTTACAAATGCTATTCACCGAATTTGTCTCCCAGATTCAAATGAAAAGATTCCATATAATATTGATGCTGTGGTTACAGGATGGGGGGCACTTAGTAATGAGGGTAAGCATGCCAATTTAGAAGACTATTATATTTTATACTAATCACAAATTATACATTTTAAAGAGAAAGAAAATATTATTCTTTTTTGAATCAGAGCAGATATTTGTCTATTATTTGCCAGCCGTATCTCTATATATGTGTCTATGCATTTATACTCTATAATTTGCTTCTTTTTATTTCAATAAAATTATATGTATATGGTTACATTCTTAACATTCTTTTATTATTGAGACACCCAAGAGTAGTGGATATAAAGAAGAGGGAAAAAGTGAATACTCTATCAATAAACCTATGACAATTTAGGATAACAATGTTATGAGTATTATCATTATTTTGCTTTTTTATTCAAAGTTAAGTAATATTGGAAAATAAGAGATCTTGATAAAGCGTGCAATTATTTGCTTCTGATTTCATCTGTTTCTATATATAGCACAGGAAGCCTAGTTCATAGGCATATTCCCAAGTTAGTTCTCATGTTTAGTCATGTGTGTATTTCATGGAGATTTGTGCAGTCAGTTTTAAGTATAATATATTTGCAAATATGTCATCAACTTCTTACACCTGTAGGGAAGAAAATTAGTTGCAGGGAGATAGAAAAGAAATGAGACTAAGGAAGATGAAAAAAGTGTAGTAAAAATTGAAAGAGAAAAAATAAGTGCAGAAAGTGCAGGTGGTGACAGGAATTAATTGAGAAAGATTAATGCAGAAGAAACCACTACAAGCCAACAAGAATTAGATTGGCATCCAGAAAGATTATTAACAATACGTTGGCTGTCCAGACATTTATTTATTCCTATCTTTTTCTGTATCATTGTGTAAGAATGTAAAACAGTAATTAGCCATCTTAAACTTGTCAAGATTTCACTTAATGTGGGGGAGGGGAAAGGCTTTTCTTACTTGGAATGGCGTGAAACTGTTCCACCAGTTTTCAGCAATAATAACCTGGAGGACAGCAAGATTTTATGGTTATGGGGCTACAGGTTACTGAACCTTGTTTTTATATTTGGAAATTTGGGGAGGTACTCAATATGAAAAATACTGAAGCAGGTGAAGTCAAACCTTCACAAACCTACCCAAAAATCCATCTGTATATCAGCAGTCAGTATGGCTCCACTTGAAGAATTTGAAGATACAGGTAGTCTTGACATATGTGCAGGTATTTAATAATATTAGCAGTTAAAAAAGACCCATCAAAAGCTATATATGACCCCATTTCAAAGTTACAATGGCTGCAGTCCCCTGCAATGATTTGCCCTTACGACCAATCACAAGGACACTGCAGTGCTCCCTGCCTCTCTGCCCCATCCTCCTTTGTTGGGACCCTGCAACTATTGGGCCTGCTACATCATACCCATCATCTATCACACTTACCTTTTGAAGATTTCTGGACATGCATCCATGAATTGTAGTTACATCCCTGAATCGTTGCCACTTCTGGAATTGCACCATGTGACCATGTAATAAATCAATCTATTTTGCTGACTTAACATGGTTTGTACAGCATTGCAGAAGCTCTTCCACAGCTATGGGCAGACTTCAAGCACTTTGTCCTCAGGCCATGTGACAGGGACCCAGAAGCAACTACTATTTTGTGGGCTGGACAAAATGGCAGTTGCTTCTGGACTCACCCATGCAGCTGTGCAGTGAAGTAATCCATTCCAGCCCTTTGGAAGGCCTGGAGCTCTTTAAAAGATAAGTGAGGAGAGGGTGTTTGGTTTGGTGGAGTGGGAATCAGGCCTAAGGCTTGGAAGGACTCAATAGGAAATGGGGAAAGGCTTATGATGACCCAAAAAGTGGGAGGTGGAGCATTGGGCATCTCAGGGGTGAAAGCCTTGGAAGGACCAAGAGCCTCCCCTACCCATGCTTTGCTTAATGTTTAAAATTTAATAATTCATTGGGGAGAGCAGGGATGAGGGGGATCATTTGATGAGATGCTTAATGACTGTTGCAACATGGAACATGGGCAGGCTCCATTACAGTTTATCTCAAGGACTACCTGTATATGTAATCCTTCTTTCAATCACTCATTTAGCAACAGTTTAAAATTATGATGGTGTTGGATAAAGGGGACTTATGACCAGTCTATAGTTTTGGCTATTGCAGTGTTCCCATCATATATAATCACATTCCAGACACTCAGAGTCCAGCTTGTGATTATGACATTGCAGTGAGTCATGATCATGTGATTATGGTTTTTGACATTCACTGTTGACTTTACACAAGCAAAGTCAGAAATATCCTACTCCCATCACTTTTTTGCCTAGTTGACTTTGTAGTGCCTGCGTCTTCCTGCTTAACAACCTGTGCAGTTCTTGGGTTACAATGGCAATATGGACTGCTAGGACTGCCATTACTAAATTATTTGGTCATGTGACATTGTACTTTAAGATCACATCACATAGCAACAGAAATTCTGGTCCCAATTGCCATTGTACCCCAGGACTACTTGTAATCCAAAAAGGAGGAACAAAAAAAGAAAGAAAGGAAGAAAGGAAGAAAAAGAAAGAAAGAAAAGAAAAGAAAAACAGGAGCAGAACATAACCATACATCATTAGTGACAATTCACTTGTTACAAATTTTTAGCCCATATTGCCTTTGGAAATGAAAGAAATGTTTCAATGACCAGTCTGTTTTTAGGCCTTCCCTCAAAATGATAAGAAACAGACTGGAACTGACTGGTGAGAAATTGATAAAATAATTGAAATAGATATTTCCTATCAGTCTTCATTTCAGATATTGTATTCAAAAAAAATTTTCTGGCAAAAGTTTACAGACATATAGATATTCATAAGATTATTACAAATTGGGGCAATATTTAGAGATTTCCACAAATACAATCCATAGACACAATTAAAGTTGATGTATATGTGTCTGTCCCTATCTTTAAATCCTAGGTTTTTTTAGGTCTGCAAAAATTTGACCATTTGTTTAATAGTCCTGAGCCATCTACAATACTGTCTCACTAGGAAACCACTCTCTCCTATCTTGCCAACTTCATTTCTTGCACTCCCAGCCTATTCTTGCAAGATTAATGAAGATTATTTGAGGCTAAATTCAGAACTGTAGTTGTGCTAGTACTAGATCTAAGAGAAATAAAAAACCCCCAGAGCCTTAAGTAGTATTAGTCAGCTACTGAATAATGAAGAACAAGTAATCATAGCTTTTGTTGTCCTTTTGAAGCACTAGGGCAGGGGTAGGCAACCCAAAACACTCAAAGAGCCACTTGGACCCGTTTCCCAGCGAAAACAAAATGCTGGGAGCTGCAAAACCCTTTTGATATCTAAAATGAAGATAACACTGCATATATCCTTTTACACACACACACACACACACACACACACATATACATACACACACACACACACTAAAGGTAAAAAAGGATATATGCAGTGTTATCTTCATTTTAGATGTCAAAAGGGTCTGTCTCTCTTTCTCCTCTCCCTCTCCAAGGCAAGCTGCCCTCCTCGCCATCCTGCACCCCCTCCCCCAAAGAGATTGGCTGGCACAGTTTGTCAATCACCACTCTTCCTCCTCCTCACACTCTTCCTCCTCCTCATTCCCCCCCCTTCTGGCTTCAGCACAGAGTTTGCACCAGAAGAAGAAGAAACGGGGTGCTTTCCCCCCCCCCACCATTTCTCTTCCTCTCTTCCTTCTCCCCTCACTTCTTCGGTGCGCGTTTGCTGGGAGTCCACCCAGATTTGAGCATCTTGGATTCCGACTCTTTCTCCCACACTCCATATCCCCACAGATCCCTTCTTCCTCCCCCCACTCCCTTCCCCCACCCCCAACATCGGCACTGCCCACCCCTTTTCCCATCCTTCCCGCGAGCCTGCGGGGGCGTGCCTAGCTTGCGATGGGACCAGCATGGAAGGCGATGCCGCTGCCACGAAGAGAGTAGCAGCCCCGGCGCAGCAGCCAGAATGGTGGCTGATCGCCCCCCCCACGCCCCTATTAATCTCTCCCCTCCCTGGGCAGGTAGCGAGCTTGCAATCGTGCTCAGAGAGAGAGAGAGGCAGAAAGCGAGCCCGGCCCGGGACCTCCCCTCTTCCAGCCAGGATCCTGGTGAACAAACCTATAAGGTCCATGCCCAGCAAGACATACTAGGACTCTGGCGAATGACTGGGGTCCCCTCCTCCGCCCTAGCACTTGGGGGCAGCTCCTCTGCACACACACCCATGCCCTGTCTGAGCCACTCCACCTGGCCTGATCCAGACCCTGCGGGCGCTCAGCTGAGCAGCACTGGGGACGGCTGGCATAGCGCAGGCGGTACCAGAGCCAGGTGGGACCGTGCAAGAGCATCCAGCCGGCCTCTCCCCCTCCCAACCTCCATGCCCACCTGGACTGCAGGCATTTGCACTGGGCCGGGAAGGTGCGTCTCTCTCGCCAGCCCCGCCCCGCCCCATGTCGTCGTGTGAATGCCGGGCTGGCCAGCGTAAAAGACGGCCAGGGCCTCCGCTCTCGAGCCGGCCTTCTGCGCCGCTGGCATCTTCGGGCCAGAACCGCTGCAACGGCCCGCCGACCGGTCAGCTCTGTCCACTGGCAACGCTGGAGCCTCCCATGCTAGCGGAGGTTTCGGTGGGACGCTCCCTGGGGGGATCTCGGGGCTTCCCCGCGCAGCTCCCCGGCCACTTGCGCCTCGGACTGAGCCAGCCTGGGAAAGGGATTTCCTGGCCGCCCTTCTCCCAGGGGGCGGGGCACCCGGGCGCAGGGCCAATCAGGAGCCCTGCGAGGGGGCATGAGAGAGAGAGAGAGAGAGAGAGAGAGAGAGAGGGAAGGGGAATGCAAGTGCCTCTCTGTCTCTGTCTCTGTCTCTCTCTCTCTGCAAATGGCGGAGCAGGCTCCGGAGCCGCAGGAGGTGGCTCAAAGAGCCGCGGGTTGCCGACTCGTGCACTAGGGAATAAAAAATGATTCAACACTGATCTCCATATTCAGTATATCTATATACTACAAGTCTCATTATATTTGCTTGTTTAAACTCTCACATTAGCCCAAATGGTGCA